GCTCCTCTGCGCCACGGCCCTGCAGCCCACGGTGGGGAGAGGAAAGGAAAAGAAGGAAGAGAATGCAGATAATGAACGGGGAATCTAGCAGCCAACATGCTTAAACACAGGTGAACAGACGGGACTAACAGTGAAGGTTCTAAGGCAAAATTCACGCGGGCTCTGGCTGCATAGCATTTGCACCTTTCCTTTCCATCTGAACATACCAGAGACAGATACGAAATGGCAAAAGGAATTCATGAGTTCATCACTAGTGGCTGTGCTCTTATTTGCGGTTGAGAAGGTACTCAGCACCTTTAAGGATTCGCTGTCCTGTAGAAAAACTTCCCTGAGAACCGGCTCCAGAAAGAAGCCTAAGGTCAGGCCAGATTATTTTTACAGACCAAAACTGACCAGCAAAAGAAGTAATTTACAATAAAACAGACCCAGGTATTACTCAGGTCATACACCTGAAGAATGAAGGGTCTGAGGTCACTCCATTCCCTCACCATACGATAGTGATCCTCACCTTTCAGGGTCTGCTTTAGTTAGGGTGGACCAGGGTCTCACAGCAACACTGAGAAAGGGTCAGGCCATGGCTCTGGAATGCCAGGAGCCACCCTTCTCTTGTGGAACTGACTCCCTCTATTCTAGCCCTTTCCCGACTCTGGAAAATCACGTATTCTGGAACTAAGTCTAGCTGATACCACACAGTGGCAGCAGAAGCCTTAAAGGCGGGAAGGAAGATGCTTCATTTTCTAGTCAGTTTATTGAGGTTTTCACAGTGAAATGCAAAAAAACAACTCCAGCTAGCTTTTAAATAGCATCAGCAACAGCAGAACCAATGCCCAAATAGGTACCATCTTATATTAGCCAGTTTTTACATCAGCCTTTTGTGCAAAAAAAAAAAGTAGAAATGTATGAAAACATGCCCTTTCGACCTGCATCCTTCTACAGAACAAATGCTACCACCCTGTACTGCAGCTTCAGGGAGCAGAACAGCTGCTGATGGTCTTTATAAAGTTATTGTCACTTTAGAGCAGGACCTACTTGGAATCTTGATCCCTGCAGATGGAAAACTGGCCAGTAAGAATTTGATCTAATCCCATGCTTCAGCCTGCTGCCTCCAGATAAGGCTGTTTTAAGTGAAAAGTGGTCCTTAGAGAATGAGGCCTTACCTGGCTGCTGCCTGCAAACCAGCTGCCCTGTGTATTTGTACAGAAAGAGAAACAGCTTGAGCAGTTATTCCAGCTGCTGTTTTCAGGGATCGCTGATACCTCACACTCACATCCAGCAAACCTGGGTTGATGAAAGAAAGGAAGGAAAGAAATGCTCAGCCCATAATGCACGTACATGCAACACACTCAATATTCAGCTATATCTATTAACACAAAACCTACTCTATTAATGAGTGTTTTTCTNGCTCGGGCACTGTGGGGACAGCGGCGCCTCGGAGAGGGTCACTGGGAACCAGCCTGAAACACCTGCGGGAGCACAGGGCCTGTTGGACTTGTCCCAGCTTCCCAAAAACGCCACTGAGGAACAGTCACCCCTCCGGTCACCAACCAAGGACCAGAACGCCAAATAAACCTAGGGCTTAGTTCTCGTTTGGAATTTTAATAAATAGTTTCTAATCTGAAATGGCAACAAGTTTCTGGTCTTCTAAAAACCTCAACAGCAGTTCTGATCCCAAAGGATTTTCCCTTCATTAACAACACCCATCTTACAATGACACTATATCCCTGGGATACCCAATTATAAAATTATGTGTTCTCATTTTTTTCCTACTTCTTTCCCATTAAAAACAACCTCAAAATTTTGGGCTGGAGAAAATGAGAACTTCACTGAAATTAAATCAGAAATAACCAAGGCAAAAAATAAAAACATTGTTATTATAGGGTATAATAATCCCAAACTAATACTAGATAAAGAAGATCAGTAGGGGACAGATATGTGAATAATTTTTTCACAGAACTTTCACAGAATTGTCTAAAGTGGAAGGGACTCAAAAGGAGCATTGGGGTATTTCATACACAGTTAAAAAAACCCAAAAAACAACAAAAATATTAAATCCTGTTACTTCCTAATTATCTAAGACTTTTGTTTGCAGCTTTGACATTTTAAAAACAGTCACTGGTCCTGCACTAAACACTGCAACTCATGGATCTGTCATCCTTTTTGGACTTTCTATCTAGAAAATAAACAGCACTGAATAAAGCCCTAAGGATTTTAGATGCTGGTTTCAGCTGGCATGGAGTTAAATTTCTTCATAGTAGCCCCAGAATATTCATTCAGCCACCAAACATCCTACACCCCAAAAAACAGATTTTCAAACAACCTTTATGTGACTTTCCTAATACTGGATTTTTACTGAACACATGGGGAACATCTGAAAAAATTTTGGTCTAAAAAAACCCAGAAACTCCCCCTAAAACCAAAACAAGCCCCCCGAAACAGGAATGTAAATAGTTTTAAGGAATTGCAGTAGCATTTACACAGAATGTCAGCAGCACAGCACTGCTGTGTTACCTGATCTCCTTGTCAGCAGGTCTCTGGTTGGGATCGTGACGGTCCCAAGAAGATAATCTCGGGATGTTCTGTCAGCCAGCTTGTCAGTGGCTGGAAAATAAAATGATTTTGTAAATACACCCTACTGGCAGGGAAGGTTTAGAAGTGATTGACTGGAGGACAGCAGTAAGAGGTGAGCTTCATCACTGGGAGGTTCAAAACCTCTTTGCACAAGGGGAACAGTCTCTCCCAAAGACAATTCAGATAATTACATCTATTACAACTGCAGAGTTCCCTGCACAGGGCTCTGAGCAACCTGACCTGCTGGAAGATGACCTTGCTCATTGCAGGGAGGGGTGGTTCAAGTACCAACCCAAATTATACCATTATTTTACGAGTATTTTTTTTAATTCACTAAAATTAAGGGGATCTCTGCACCAGCATTCAATCCTTGCCCCTGCTGTCCTTACCTGACTTGGCGCTCTGATGGTAGACGGAGAATAAAACGCTGCCAGATTGCAGGAGCTCCCCCAGAGAAGAGGCCTCCCCGGTGCTCCTGTGGGTGACGAGCGGGCAGAGGAAGCACAGGCGCTGCCCGAACTGGGG